GTGAGTGGGCCGCGCGGGGCGGGCCGGGGGAGGGCTTGGAGCCCGCACCGCGATGGTTCCCGTGTCCAGGCTGCGGAGCACCCTTGGGCTACCGAGGAGGGGGACTCCCACAAAGCGGCACTCCAGGCCCGGAGCTGGGGGTGGGGTGGGGAAGCAAGAACGCCGGCCTTGGGTTCCTGGGGGAGGCTGGGGTTTGCCTGTGGACTTCAGGCCGCCCGCCTGAGCTGCGGCCTCCAGAGCTGCGGACAAAGGCCTGGACTGCTGCTCCCTGAAGAAGAAACCCTTTCCTGCTTGGAGTCTGGGCAGGCCTGGGAGCTAGCCAAAGATGGGGACTGGGCTTGGGGGGTTGAGGGTTTGGGGGAGGCAGATGTGAGAACTCATTTTCCCATTGTGTCTTCCTGGACCCAGATGGCTATGGGCCGGTTCAGCCTTGATGGGGGTGGGAGTCTGTTCTGGGGAGGGCTAAGAACCTGCTGATACTGGTTAGAAGGCTCCTTCCCTGTCCAGAAAATTTTTCTGTCCACTTTCCTGGGGCCCACTGCAGGGGAGGGAAGGAAAGAGTTAAATCCTCTACCCACATGGCTCTTTATTTACCTTGATGAAGGAGGGAGGCCCTGAAGAACTGGGGTCATTAGGGGACACCCAGTGATGTCACCATTGAGATCCCAGGAACCTGACAGCCTCCCTGAAACCACTGAAATGTTAAGCTGGGGTGGAGCAGGAAAGCTTGTTCATTTTAAGTTATAACTCTCTTCTAGCCCCCAAGAATAGAGAAGGGGTGAGTGTTATGGGGAGGGGCTACTGCATACATAGGCCCTGTGAGGTAATCGAAGAAGTGGCATATGCCCAGCGTGCCTGGTTCCCATGCTGTGGGTGGTCATGACATCTGGGTCCCGGCTGTTGTGTTTCCCAGGTGGGCAGGGCAGAGGTAAGGTCCTCCCTGAAGCAAAACAGTAGCTGGAAGCTGAGGATCCTCTGTGGAGGTGGAGGTGTACTGTGGTGGTAGCAGGAGAACCCTGCCTTTAGGACAATGGGGTGCAGGGAAGAGGATGGTATCATCACCCCAAATGCCTGTCAAGGGAGGAAGCCCTTCGAGGTGGTAGGAATCCTCTTGAAAGGTGAAGGTCTTGGGAATGAGTCTATGTGACCGGTAGCCTCAAGCCTGACAGAAACCCTGTTAATTCTGAGAAGTGTCATGAGGGGACAGTCCACTCAGGGTGGCATACCGCTGTCTCGGGCTGTGGGTGCATGAGGGCAGGTCCTGAGGCCCTCTGAATTCCTAGCCTTTTCCTATCCCAGAAGGAACAGGTGGGAGGGAGGTTCTCTGGCAATGATCTGGGCCATGCCCAGTGAGATAAAGGGGGCCTGCCTTGACTCTAACTGTATTGTCCGATGTTCGCTGTTAGCCCAGACATGTGCTCTGGACTCCAAGAGATACTGTCCCTTACTGACGCCTCTTTGTGTCTTCCACAGTGAATCTCTTTTTTACTGGGAGGCTCAGCAGTGCAGTCCCTGCCTTAGGTGAGTAAGCCCCTTTATCCTGCCTGCCCGGGGTTAGCGACCTCTAAGGATGGGCCTTCAGTCTTGCCTGTACCCTGTGGCCATCAGGCCTCTGGTTGGGCAAACCTTTCCCTCTGCACCTTTACAACATCACAAAGGAGCTGATGGCGGCAAACGAATTTAAGTTTAGTGAGCCTTGATTTATTTGCTAAAATAGGTGAAATGCCAGACTACCCCAAACCTGGCCTAATGGGTCCAGTGAAGCAACGGCCTAGGATGTTCAGGAAGGGGCCGGGTGCTCTGTGACTTGGTACCACTGCCGACTATCCACAGGCTTGTCTGACTAGCCTCTGTGGGCTGTGGCATTCTCGAGGGACACTGGATGCTCGTGTGTATTAAATAATGCCTAGGGTTTACTTCTAGAGGTAAAATTAATGTTGCCACAGAGGCCAGTACCATTTAAGGAAAAAAAAAATCAGACCTTTAAGACTATTTTGGTAGCACAGGCTCGTAATTCCAGCTACTCCAGAGACTGAGGCAGAAGATTGAAGTTAAGACCTGCCTAGGTTACAGAGTAAGTTCAAGGAAAGTCTGGCTAACTTTATGAGACTCTGTTTAAAACTTTTTTTTAAGGGCTGGAGATGTAGCTCAGTAATCGAGCACTTTCCTAGAATCCACCAATGAGGAGTGGGGGCGTGGCTCAGTGGTGGTACACTTGCCTAGTATCCACCAATGAGGAGCAGGGATGCGTGGCTCAGTGGTGGAGCTCTGCCTAGCCTGGGGTTCAAGGCTTGGCCAGGCTGACTCAGGATGAGGAAAACCACAGCTTTCATTGAGGTTTCCAGGAGAAAGGCAAAACAATCAGGCAAACAGCTTTGAGAGATTACAATGGCCTGTTTGAGTCGTTCTGGAGGCTAATTCTCGGGCAGTCTCTGACTGGCAGGTACCTAACCCTGGGATTCTTCATGGCAGAACAGTGTATTGGCTTGTGTGTGAGGGTCATGAGGATGGTGGGTAAGAACACAGCCCCGGATCTACGGCTCTGCGTGTGAAAGGCTTGTTCCAGGCAACTTGCAGCAGAGAGCTCGACACATAAGGTGTGAGGAAGCAGCGAGAAGCCCTGTGCTGGCCTCCTGCCTGTCAGTGCTGCCTGGCCATCTGACGGCCAGCTTTGAGCTCTGAACTGGTGTCAAGGGAGGGAGGAGCAGCCACAGATGTGGCTGTTCCTCTCCTTGGCTGTGGAGAGGCTCCCGCTGTTTGGGGAATAAATAGTTAGGATAGTTGTAAGCCAGGAGACCGAGGGAGCCCACTCTATCACTAATATGCAAGTGAGCCTCGCCGTCTCTTGCTTCTCTAGTCAAGGCCATCTTCAGCAAACCCTAAAATGGTGTATAGTAGTGCCATGTGTAGTGTTGCATGCCTGTAATTGAGGCTGAGGCAGGAGGATTGCAAGTTCCAGGTCAGTCTGGGCTACATAGGAGAGACCCTGTCTTCAAAAGTAAGCCAGAGGTTCCAAAGGCTAAGTAATTAGCAGAAGTACATTGAGGCAAGGTGCCTTGGGGTGTGGCCAGTAAGGATGTGTGACCCCAAGTCTGGGGACCTAGAACTTGTGTTGTTTCTTGCGCCACACGGTGAAACAGGAGTTATGTGGAATTTCTGGTTTTAGTATGCCACTGGGCCCACTGAGGCTCCAGGTGGATAGATCTAGCTGGAGCTGATCACAAGGGTTATGGGAGGTGGGAAGAGGCATGGTAGAGATATTCACAGAGTTCAGTTTCTCTGCTTGTCTGGAAGACTAGGCTCCTGCCCCCGCTCCATCCTCTCTGTACCCCAACTCTGTGTTTTTCTGCAGCTGGGCCTCCTCTGCTGACCCAGGCTGGCCCAGGGCCCTGCTTTAGTCAGCACTGACCAACCCCGCCCCGCCTGATGTACTGACCACAAAGGACAGCCCAGTTTCATATCCCGATTCCAGGAAAGCACTGGGTCCTGTGTCTGTGGCCAGGGTACAGTGCGGGAAGTGGGTTGAGAGAGTGTTGATATCTTGCAGGCGTGAACCCCAGACCACCCCTTCTGCTGCTGGTGGGTGGGTGGGCATTGCTGTCCCAGATGTGTCCCCAGGCTTGCAGAAGCCATGCTGGAGCAACAAGGCTTACTCAACATGTGCTGAAGAGAACAACCCAGGTCCTTATGGCCTTCCTGGCAGACTGTGGTCACTCACCAGCAGCGATGGTCATTCATCCATTGCTGCCTCTGCATGGTGCTCCTGATTTTGGGAGCTGAATGGCAGTGGCAGGTGGTAAGATGGGTCCTAATGTCCCTGGATCCAGCTCTGAGCCCTCTGGTATTGTTGACCAGCCTCTCCCTGGCCTACCCGACCTCTCCCAGCATGGGCCTCACGGTTGCATTTCCAAATACTTTCTCTGCACCCCTACTGTCTCCTAGCCCTTTCTCAGCCTGCACCAGAGACATTCTGTTCCCTCAGTCCATCCCTTGCTCCTCCTCTATCAGGTCCTCCCTGGATCAAAAGACCTACCTCTTGCATCCTGCATGCCTGGCTCCCCTCTGTGATGCTAGGGTCGGCCTGGATAAGCTTCTACTGTCTTCTACTCAGATATGCGCATGGCCATATGCCTGGGGGAGAGAGTAGCCCAGCTCCCTGCTGTCAGGTCACAACATGCAGGTTGTCCAGGTTGCCTCTGGAACTCAGATCTACAAGTCTGCATCAGGCCCTGCCACTGTCCTCTCAGAGGGGTGTGACAATGCTTCAGACCGGTGATTCATCCCTTTCCCACACAGTCACTGAGAGCTCAGGCAGTCTTCTGTGAGGGCGAAGGCTAGTCTCCACACCAAGATCAGAGGGCCCTCCCTGACATCCCAAACACTCCCAGGGATCTCTCCTATTAGTATCCCACGAACAGTTCGGTTTCTGCTCTGATGGTTATATACCCTGTCAAATCCTCACTTCCTACAAGACATTTCTGTAGACTCCTCTGCCCCATTGGTCTGTCCATCACATGACTGTCTGCCTCAAGACTGTCACTTTTTTCTTTGCTTTGCTTTTCTTTTTTTTTCTCTCTTTTCTTTTCTTTCTTTCTTTCTTTTTTTTCAAGGCAGGGTTTCTTTCTATGTAGCTTTGGAGCCTTCTCTGTGGACCAGGCTGGCCTTGAACTCAGAGATCTGCCTGCCTCTGCCTCCTGAGTGCTGGGATTAAAGGCGTGCACCACCACCACCCAGTAAACTATCACTTTCTTGATTGTCTCCAACCACAGCTGCATGTAATGATTCTATTTTACAGATGCATGAGATGCATCCTCGTATCCTCACACGGGGATTACATATGGCCATGGAGGTTTAGGTCTGGGAAATGAAGTCCCTGTCTTGGAAAGCTGGGGTTTGGGATGTGTTGACCAAGCTAGATACATTTCCAAGCTTACTGCCAAGTGGTATCTAGTCAAGGGGCCTTCGTGGAGCTCTTGGATCCCAGAGTCAACCTATTCTCCCCCTTGATGTGAGACCCAAGTGGTAGTTGTAGAATCATGGTCCGGCACCCATGACACCCTCCAGAGATGAGGAAAGAGTTAACAGTGATGCCCCATGGGGCTTACAGGATAGAGGATTTGTGAAAAGACTGAGCTGGGCTGGTGGTGGCCCAGTCATCTGGACAGATGAGCCACCTACACCCTGAATAAATGTAGGTACAAGTGTCCTGGCTGAAGCAGGAAGAGAGCGAGATGTCTACTTAGAACCTTGATGGAGTCTTGGTAGGAGGAAGGCATGCCCCAGTCTCCCTGGGCTCTGCCTGTCAGGAACCACTCTCCCCATCTCATGAAGGAGGAATCCTCCAGGTCACATCAGGTAGAAACTTAGGTCTCTAAGGTTCTCTAGGTAGTGGCTTCATTTGGTGACAGGATCCAGGTTCAGGCTGGGGGTACCGTACAGATTCTCCTGAGACCCTGTTCCACTAGCTTTGGCTCCTGGGCTGGGAGTTGAGTACACCAGCCGTTTCCATGGTGAAGCACCTGAAATTGGGGAGGCTGCATCCTAGGGCCACATGTGAGCATCAGGAGCAGAGGAAGTGGCACATACCTCAATGAGCTGGGACCTTTGATGCTATAAAGGATGAAGTTCTGAGGGTGGCCACGCCCACATAGGCATAAGGTGGCCTTTCCATCCCTCCCTATGTTTCCCCTTTCCTTTTCTGTATTTCTCCTTCCAGTCTACCCCCCAATCCCTTTGCCTTCCTTCTTTCCTTCTTTCCTTTCTTCCTTTCTTTTTCTCTTTCTTCTTTCCTTCCTTCCTTTCTCTCTGTCCTTTCCTTCTTTCTTTCTTTTCTTCCTCCGGGTCTCATGTAGCCCATGCCAGCCTAGAACTCACTATGTAGCCCAGGCTGGCCTTAAACTCCATCTCCTGTGTGCTAGTATTACAGTTGCATGCTACCACACACACCTTGTTCAAAGATGGCATTTCTGACTCAGTTCTTTGATGCTCTTGTGAGTAGATGGGAGAACCAAGACCCCCATGGTCCTGGCTGGCAGAGTGGGTGTGATCCCTTAGGATGCTCAGAAGATGCTAGACTGACCATGCGGGGCACCCACTATATGTCAGGCACTGGGTAGCAGGCCGGAGTGTCCCAGCCTGCCCTCCTATGGCGAGTTGATGTCAAACAAATTATGTAGCAATAGGTAAGTCATTATGGTGGCAGAAGTCAAGAAGGAAAGGAGGGGCAAAGGGTAGGGGCCGACTCCCCTGAGGGAGACATGGTAAGGGCTTCTCTACAAAGGGACCCCACAGAGCTGAAGCTGAGGGAGGTGAAGAGTTAGTGGGGTAGGAGAGTGGGGAACAGCCTTCCTTTCCATGGGGGGTGGCTCTTGGGGTGAGGGAAGCAAGGATGCAGGAGGAGTTTGGTAGACAGGCGACTGTGTCATCTCCCTGAGAGACTGGGATGCAGAGGACTGGAGTGGGGTCCTTCTGCAGCAGACGCCCAGCCCGAAGCCACAGCTGGAGAGTCCAGCTTCAGAGGCACCGTCACAGGTGCCTGCAGTGGGAGGATGAGAACGTAGACTTTAAGGAAAGGCTTACGGTTTGCTTCCTGAGCCTTGCTCTTCCATCTGTAAAGTATGCCTAGCCTTTATGACAGGTTGGATTAGATAAACGTTTGCGGGTCATGTAACCGTTCAGGGTACTCTGCCTGGCCCTGGGAGAGCCCAGACAGCAGGGCCGGTGTGGTGTCTCTCACTCATGCTGGCTAATGATCGCTCTATCTTCATCCCTCACGTGGCATACAGTTGGTGCCCCATAAATGCTTGTGAACTCAGACCCTGCGGTAAGAGGCTGAGCCCACCAGGGGCCGGGTGAATCCTGACTCTGCCACTAGCTGGCTGTGTGCCCCGCGCGTCATTTGCCTTCTCTGAGCCTCAGTTTCTTTATCTGGTTAGAATATCTACCTCCAGTGTCTTTTCACATATATTGAGATAAAAATCCCAAATTTTAAATTAAAAAAGGATTCATTTTTACATATGTGTATAATGTGTGTGTTGGAGGACTTGTTGTACACACATGTGCAGGAGAATAGATGAGGGCATTGGATCCCCTGGAGCTGGAGTTACAGGTAGCTGTGAGTTGCCCACTGTGGGTATTGGGAGCAAAATGTTGGTCCTACGCAAGAGCAGCAAGTGCTCTTAAACACTGAGCCATCTCTCCAGCCCCTGAACCCCAGTTTTGTACAAGATGTACTGAGACCCAGACTACACTGTCAGCCAGGTCTGGACATTGCCATCTCCCTTCTTGTCACCAGGATTCTGTGTACATTTTGTGTATTTTCACCTTCAACCTGTGAGATTCACAAGAAAGTTTTTAGATTTGCTTATTCAGCATGCTTGTTTCTTTCGCTTGGTGCGTAGTCGGTGTCCAGTAAATATGTATCAGTAGGCAAAGCCCTTCTTTTCCTGGGTCTGTGTTATTTTTTTAATGTTTATTTATTTAATTTTAAGTGCATATGTGTGTTCCTGAGCATATGTTTGTACACCGTGTGCATGCAGGAGCCCATGGAGGTCAGAACAGGGCATTGAATCCCCTGGAACTGGAGTTATAGATGGTTCTGAGCAGTCATGTGGGTGCTAAAAATTGAACCTGGGTCCTCTGCAAGAGCAGAAAGTGTTCTTAACTGCCTACCCCTCTCTCCAGCTCTCCTGGGGCTGTGTTCCACATTGGTAGCAGGGACTCTTGTGTGTAGGCCTACATGCTTCTTGTAAGGCCTCTGCTAAGCTGAGGTCTTGAGACCTCATAATACATGTGTTGGATGCCAAGGGGAATTAAAAATGTCTTGTTCTTAGCACTACTAAGTTGGGGGAAGAACTGAACACACAGGATCAAGACTCCAGTATACTGCAGGGATGGGGCTATACTACCTCAAGTCTGGAGGGTCCCTCCTTGAACTCCACCCACACACGACTTCCATGAAGATTTGAACTGTAGACTGGCTGGCCTTAGTGGAAGCTCATGTTCAAGCCATGAGCAGGGACACCCCACAAAACCTGCTTTCCACCCCAAAGGTGAGAGGACATTCCTCGACCTTCTCTCCCAACAGCCGCCTGCAGTGGGAAGCTGGAACAGCACACTGAACGGCGAGGGGTCATCTACAGCCCAGCCTGGCCCCTCAACTACCCACCGGGCACCAACTGCAGCTGGTACATTCAGGGTGACCGTGGTGACATGATCACCATCAGGTAAGGAGAGCCTCTGTGTGTTCGTGTGTGAATGCCTAGCAGGTGTGGAGGACACACATATGGGTGTGGACAGGTGTGATGTACACAAGCCCAGGTCTTAGCAGGCATGACGTGTGTGTGTGCGTGTGTGTGTGTGTGTGTGTGTGTGTGAGAGAGAGAGAGAGAGACAGACAGACAGACAGACAGACAGACAGACAGACAGACAGACATGTTTAGGTGTATAGACACATTTAGAAACAGATATCTGAGAGACCTGCGTGGCCACAGTTGTGAGCTGTAAGCATGTGTGTGCATGTGAGTGTATGACCATTTAATTGACCCCATCAGAGCTGGGTGCTCTGAGCTTGGTCATTTCCTGTACTGAGGCTTTTCTTTTTAGTCCCCAAAAGTGAGCCTTAGGAGCTGGTGGGTGGGGGCGGGGCTGGCTGCTTAAGGTGGCAAAGGTGTCTGTTTCTGCCCTGGAGGAGGGACCTGAGGCCAGGCTGGCATGGAACCCAGGTCAGGGTTTCTGCGGGGACCTCAGGTGGACTCTCAGGGAAGGGAGCTGAGGGTAGAGTAGAGGCAGACAGGAGAAGGTTCTAGAGAGTGTCACTGAAGAGCTAGAAACTGGACCTAGGGTCATAATGGGGACATTTGGCTGGGGCGGTCACCATGGCTTCTGCCTGCCATACTTCTAAAATCCAGAAGCCTGCCCCTCTGTCCAGGCCTAATTACTCCCCAGATCTGAAGGACAGGAATGGGATGGGCATGAGCAGAGGCCCTTCTGGTTTCTGAGCCCAATCCCCTGGGCAGCTTGTAGTCGGTCACCCCGTGGTAGCATTGGGTGACTCATTGGCGGAGCCCCACCATCAGTGTGCAGCCCTGGGAGTTTGCACTGTTCAGTTGACTCAGGATGAGAGGTCTCTGAGCCCTTGATCACCACCCTGGAGGGGAAAGTGTCAGAGAACTGCCGACACTTCACACTCAGTTTTGTCCTGGGGATGCTGTGTGTGTGCTCGCGGGGCAGAGAGCTGGAAGGGAGCTGGACTGATGGATGCAGCCCGTGAATGTCATGAGTCCTCACGGAGCTGCCTTTGGACGCTGGGGTGGGGGCAGAGCAGACCCTGAGGAGCCCATAGCACAGAGCCAGGCAATTTGGAAGATACGAGGAGGGCTACTGGGTAAGACAGAGCTAGCTAGCTGCCTTTGCCATGAGTTCAGCTTGACCACTGCTGGTCAGTCCTGGGCCAGGAGGCCCCTGTCCACCTACCCATCCCTCTGATCCTCTCGGCCCCCATAGTTTCCGCAACTTTGATGTGGAGGAATCTCACCAATGCTCCCTGGACTGGCTGCTGCTGGGCCCGGCAGCTCCACCTCGCCAGGAGGCCTTTCGCCTCTGTGGCTCAGCCATCCCGCCCGCCTTCATCTCTGCCCGTGACCATGTCTGGATCTTCTTCCACTCAGACGCCTCCAGCTCCGGCCAGGCCCAGGGCTTCCGCCTCTCCTATATCCGAGGTGATGCAACAAGCTTTTCCACTGGCCCCCGTTTTCTGCAGAGGCTCCCCTTACCAGCCCTGCTAATCCTAGGGTGTGAGTGGGACTGATGTCTGGGGGGTGCTTCAGTGTCTCTTCAGGTAATCGGTTTCCCTTTGCTGGACATGAACCCCAGCCTAAGTCCAGCCCTGATACTGAATCTAGCCTTCCATCCATGAGTCTGTCCCATGGGTGGCTCTACCTCTTGGTACAGAGGCTCAGTCGGGACTGAACCCATTTGCCTGCTCCCAGCCTCTGGCCTGGTGCTGGAAGGAGGCGGCTCATCCTGTCACCTCTTCGCCTCCAGGGAAACTGGGCCAGACATCCTGCCAGACAGACGAGTTCCGCTGTGACAATGGCAAGTGCCTGCCTGGTCCTTGGCAGTGCAACATGGTGGATGAGTGTGGAGATGGGTCGGACGAGGGTAATTGTTCCGCGCCTGCCTCGGAGCCACCAGGCAGCTTGTGCCCCGGGGGGACGTTCCCGTGCAGTGGCGCCCGCTCCACACGCTGCCTTCCGGTGGAGAGGCGCTGTGATGGCACACAGGACTGTGGCGATGGCTCCGATGAGGCTGGCTGCCCCGACCTAGCATGTGGCCGGCGGCTGGGCAGCTTCTACGGTTCCTTCGCCTCCCCAGACCTGTTTGGTGCTGCCCGTGGGCCTTCGGACCTTCATTGCACGTGGCTGGTGGACACCCAGGACCCTCGGCGTGTGCTGCTGCAGCTGGAGCTACGGCTGGGCTACGATGACTACGTCCAAGTGTATGAAGGCCTGGGCGAGCGTGGCGATCGTCTGCTCCAAACATTGTCCTACCGCAGCAACCACCGGCCCGTGAGCCTCGAGGCGGCACAGGGCCGCCTCACTGTGGCCTACCACGCTCGGGCCCGCAGTGCCGGTCATGGCTTTAACGCCACATACCAGGTGAAGGGTTACTGCCTTCCGTGGGAGCAGCCATGTGGGGGCGGCAGCGAGGGAGACGACAGCAGCGCAGGGGAGCAGGGCTGCTTCTCAGAGCCACAGCGCTGCGATGGCTGGTGGCACTGTGCCAGTGGCCGGGATGAACAGGGCTGCCCAGCATGCCCTCCGGACCAGTATCCCTGCGAGGGTGGCAGTGGCCTGTGCTATGCACCTGCCGATCGTTGCAACAACCAGAAAAGCTGCCCTGATGGCGCCGATGAGAAGAACTGCTTTTCCTGCCAGCCGGGCACCTTCCACTGTGGTACCAACCTGTGTATCTTTGAGACGTGGCGCTGTGACGGCCAGGAGGACTGCCAAGATGGCAGCGATGAGCATGGCTGCCTGGCCGCTGTGCCCCGCAAGGTCATCACCGCGGCTCTCATTGGCAGCCTGGTGTGTGGACTGCTGCTTGTCATCGCCCTAGGCTGTGCCTTCAAACTCTACTCCCTGCGCACGCAGGAGTACAGGTGGGCACCACGCGCACAGGTGGCCTAGAGCCCCAGTTCCTCCAGCTTCCTGGAGAAACAGCTCACCTCGTGCCAAGCTATGGGTTTGGGTCATCCCAATACAGGAGGACTGTTCTTGTGTGTGCATGCAGGGGCCCAGATGAAAGGGTGGGGCCCCTAAATCCTGCTGTTAGGGCAGGTCCCTATCATACTTCCCTTCTGCCCATTGCTTCCAGGGCCTTTGAGACCCAAATGACACGGTTAGAGGCAGAGTTTGTGCGGCGGGAGGCCCCCCCATCCTACGGCCAGCTCATCGCACAGGGCCTCATCCCACCAGTCGAGGATTTTCCTGTCTACAGTGCATCCCAGGTGAGCCTCCATGAGTATGAGATCTCCACAAGGCCCAGGTTTCTTCCCTGCGGGGCCTGAGAGCTCCCAAGACCGGGAGGCCTAGGGTCCAGCTAGGGCTAGATCATTTGGAGGGGGAAGGTGGAGGAAACTCAGAATAGTCTCTGGTCTGAATGGTCTGGCCCTACCTTAGCTGCTGCCCCCACTCACAGGCTTCAGTGCTACAGAACCTTCGCACAGCCATGCGACGACAGATGCGCCGGCATGCCTCCCGCAGGGGGCCATCGCGCCGCAGGCTCGGCCGCCTCTGGAACAGGCTCTTCCACCGCCCACGGGCACCTCGAGGCCAGATCCCGCTGTTGACTGCTGCACGTACCTCACAGACCGTGCTGGGCGATGGGCTCCTCCAGGCGGCACCAGGGGCTGCCCCAGATCCCCCAGTGCCCCATACAGACACAGGCAGCCCCAGGGAAGCTGGAGATGGGCCTCCCAGTGGCCCTGGCCATGTACCAGAAGTGGGGCCTTCAGTGCCACCCCCACCCATGAACCCGCGAGACCCAGAGTACAGGCCAGAGGACAAGGAGAGAAAAGCCTGTGAGGACCCTCCGGAAGACAGCCCAGCCCCTGTGGACACGCCTCCAGAGCCCTGCTTGACCCAAGACCCTTACCCCCAGACGCCTACTGCCAGCAGCACCCAAGATCCCCACTCGCCAGAGTCATCGGGGGTCTGCAGGAGCCCCCCGCCACCCTGCTCCCCAGTATTGGAGGCTAGTGACGACGAGGCCCTGCTGGTCTGCTGACCCATTGGACATGCTGGTGACTGCCACAGCCCCGCTTTGTAACCAGGGAATACACAGTCATTTCTACCCTGCCTCTGCATTTTTTCTTACAAACAGAGACCCACCTAGCAGCCCTGGTGGGAGACCTGGGCGCCCAGCCAGTGGGCTACCTCTGCAAGCCTATGGCCCTGATGGGTATCGCTGGCAGGGGCTTAGGGGCCCATTAGTTGGCCTGGGAAGGAGGGTGGAGTGATAAGACCACCTTGCAGGTGGGCAAGAGCACAGCCCCTTGGAGTCGCACATCACACTGCTCTCTGCAACTCTAACCTGGGGATTCATTTCCAGAAAAGCAGGGGAGCCAGAGCCAGGCTTTCTGCAATGTTTTCTGTGGCTTCTCAGTTCATTCAGCCGGCAATGGCACCAGCTGCCCATTCCAGAACTCTGCCAGGAGCTGTAGTTGAGGCCTGAGAAGGTCATGGGGGGTGTTGGACCTCATTCATGGTGAGTGCTCTATCCACCCTTCCCCACAGGGCCCTTGGGGGAGACGGGCTAGTGGCTTCTGCCCCATCCTCATGCCTGTAGTGGCAGCATGGGCCTGGCTAGGCTGGAACACTCTGCCCACTGACTGCTGGGTCAGTCCCTATGCATAATGAGCAAGGATGACCACGAGAGAAGCCATTCTATGCTTTCCTCAGGATACCGAAGTCAAAGCACTGAGTGGCAATGGTAACGTCCATCTGGTCCTGCCTCAGAGCCTCAGTTTCCTCACCTGAAGCCAGAGTGATGCCGTGCTATCAGAAGTGGCAGTATTCACTCTGGTGGTTTATGGGAAAGGGCAATCACAGCTGGGGATGTCTAGGTTCTCCTGGAGGGTCATAGGTCGAGGCTCACTGTCTCCTATGGGCCCCATGGAGCCAGCCTCAAGTTCCAGCAGCAAAACCCACCAGGAAGCCTCCTCCATAGCACCTTCCCAGCTAGCAGCTGACACGCCATGCTGAGTCCCCATGGACTCCCCTCGCACACAGCAACAACCAGCCCTGTTTATTTCCAGGCTTTTCAGGAGAAGCTAGCAGGGCAGTGCTAAGGCAGGAAGCCTGACCCCAGTGGCCGGTCCCTTACAGTAGGCCTCTAAGGGTCGGATCTCTTTTTTTTTCCAGAATTTTTTTTTTTGAAAACAAAACAAAACACAAAACCCTTCTCAATAAACATGTAAACAGAATCAGCTGTTTCAGTCTCTGCACGGTCTCATTGTGTCTTCAAGGGCTTGTCCGTGATAGGCGTTGGAGAGGGCTGGCCCATGGGGCCATTTTCCTCCTCCTCCAGGGAGCCCTGGGGGTAAACCACGAAACACAGCTCCTGGCCCCAGCGTGTCATGGACTCTAAGAACAGACAGATAGATCATGGGAGGCGAGGTGTTGATCCTTTGAGGCAGGGATGACCCTAACTCTTGATACCTCCTTTGGGCAAAGAGTTGCTTCCTTTGCAGATGGATCCTGGCCACATCTACACGTAGCAGGAAGTTTTGAGGGAAGTCACTGGGTCCTTTGTCACCAGCCAGGCTGGTAGAGGCCCCTGTTCTTGGGTGGGATCAAAGAGATGCTCACCCTAATCCCCAAGAGGCATGGTGGCAAAACCTGGCTCACCTGTGAGTCTGTGCACACACTTTGGTTTGCTTCTCCAGAATACTCCCAGGAAGAAGATGGGGACCCCAGTGAGGATGATGATGACGCCGACCCCACAGACCATGGGCTCCGAGATGAAGCTGAAGACCAGTAGGAATGCCCAGAACACCAAGTACGCAACAGGAATGAGGAGGTTCACCTAACAGAGAAAGGAAGGACAGGAGCACCGGGGGAGGGGCATCACCACCATGGGGATCAGAGGCACTTTCTCCATCTCTTGGGAACTAGGGCCTGCACTGGCCCCCTCTGGTTGCAGCCCGGTGCCCTGGAGAGCCATCCCTGGGTTGACCAGTTGGCTGAACTGCCGAGGCTGTCTACTTGAGCAGTGTGCTGAGCTATCCGCTGTAGTTATCTGCAGAATGCTGTTTGCATTTGGCTGCAGCTCCACTTATTTTTTTTGGTGCTTCATATTCCAGGCCGTCTTCAAGATTGACATACAGAAGTGGGGGGGCTTTTCTGTCACTCATTCATGTGAGGGCATGAGAATGCCAGGCCCTGTCCTTGGCGCCCCATGTGACCTTTGTCCCATTGTCCCCCGTCTGTGGACTGGGAATATTGAAAGCACATGCTTCCTGGGGTTGTGAGGAGAGACTATGTCAGTGCATGGGAAGCCCTGCGCTCTGCAAATGCTGTGGTCCACCTGCCTCGGGTGCTCAACTGAGACGAAAGCGGCCCTGGTTATTCCCAGCCTCACCTTGATGGGCCTGTGGAGTGCTGGCCGCCTCCAGCGCAGCACGAGCAGGCCCAGGATGGTGACTCCGTAGCAGAGGTAGTTGATGAAGGACACATAGTTGATGAGTGTGTATGTGTCACCCACGAGCATGATGACCGCGGTGGCCCCGCACTGGGAGAGGACCGAGGGCTGACGGCTGGCCTCCCACCTGCTTCTGGCCATCCCTGCGGGCTGCTCTGGGCCTTCCCACTCAGGTCAGGAGGTCAGGTGAGTCCCAGCCCTTTCCCCACCCTCCACGGCTTCTCTACCATAGGCAGGGAATGAGCTTTTGCCATTATCTTAAAAAGAAAGCCATTACTAGGTGTTTCTGGCTATATGCGCTGGACGGTCAGGTTCTCAGACTTACACAGACGAGGAGGGCAGGGATTGGGGTACAGCGTCTGACATGGATCATGGCCAGCAAGCTGGGCAAGTGTCCCTCTCGGGCTCCAGAGAAGCATAGCCTAGGCACAGGGAGGGCGATGGATAAGCCAGAGCCTGGCGTTGGAGCTTCTCTGTGGCTTGCTAGGACTCAGCTGTCACCTTTGCCCTCTGCCCTCCAGGCCCTGCCAGCTCTCCACATGTAAGTCTGCCTCCTGGCCTTCTTACCCTCAAGGGTGGGATCAGACATTTGTTACTGGAGAATTCATCGCCTCTGCTTTCCCTTCCCATGGTACCTAGTGCAGCCTGCACACAGAAAGCCACCCGCCCAGTCTTACCTATGTCACCCTCTCCCCCTTTCCTCAGTCTAGTCACCTGGATGAGGTGAACAGGTAGCCATTGATCCCTCCAAAAGTCGATAGTGCCACAGAGACGGGCATGACCCACGCGAAGTAGCCCAACAGCTTCTCGCCAAAGGTCTGCGTGGGCACAGAAGAGAGGCCAAGAATGAGGCTGGGGATGGGGTGCGGGCAGGGGCTGCAGAGAGGGCTGAGGTCCCCACTCACCACAGCCACTGCGTTGGAGGACAGCAACTCCTGGGGGGACATGGCGGTGAAGTAGGCAACGTTGGTGAATGTGTACACGAAGGTGACCAAGGGGATGGAAATGAAGATGGCACGAGGTAGGTTTCTGGGGACAGAGATCAGAGAGTCAGTTTCCGGTGCAAGAATGGGGCACTGGGGAGTCTTAGAGTCTCGTGTGTGCCCAGGCGGGGGCGGCTTCAGGAGGGAAAGAGACCAGCACTGCTACTGGGGACAGGGACCTACTGCTGTCTGCCTTTCCCCCAGCCTCTGTCTGAGTACAAACTAATGGAAGGAGGGACACGTCGTCCCCTGAGGGCAGGATCTAATTAATGTCTGGATAGAAAGGAAAAATTGCATATAGCCAAAGTCAGCCTAGAAAATCTCCCAGATGCCTTCAGAGCTCAGCCATCAAGTCTGAGATCTCCCTGGGGATTCTCCACCCAACCCTGCCCCCCTTAGCTGTCACTGTCCCTGCCAAGGTCCCTGACTGAACATCAGATGGAGTGTCGTGGGCTCTATCCTTCAGGACCATGTTGTGTGCATATGGACAATGTTGGACCAATGTAAATCACTAAACATAGCAGCGTAACGATATTCAAGTCTTTCCGAGGCCCTACAAGGGGTCCGGCTGCAGCTGCAGACACAGACAGGGAAGAACACGGCTTCGGGGCTCTCCTTTGAGCCTGTTGTCATGGCAGCAAGTGTGGCCAGTGGATGGCCATTCCGGGCCTTGGGTGACAGCAGATCTGTGGGGACAGCTGCTTCTCCTTCCGGTGCCTGCCCAGGCAGCTTCACTCACTTGCGAGGGTCAACCAGCTCCTCGGTGACATAGTTAAGGAAGTTCCAGCCACTGAAGGCAAAAGAGCCTTGCAGGAAAGCCAGGGCAAGGTGACCCACAGATGGTGTCATCCAGAACGTGAAGGCGTTGGTGGGCCTCAGCTCTTCGAAGTGTCCTGGGGAGCCCAGATGTCAGGGATTATTAGCACAGTGCGCCGCCCCCACCCCCGTTCTCTCCAGCGCTCCCACCCTGTTTCGTACCTTGGAAGAACTGGACAAAGCCAACACCAATGATGAGCGCCAGGGCCAGCAGCTTCCCACCAGTGAAGATATCCTGGATGCGCGTGGCCCAGCGTACGCTGGAGCTGTTCACCCACGTCAGGAGCACTAGGGAAGAAAGGGGCGTGGGCACCTGAGGCCAAATCTCGGCCAGACAACAAGGGGACAGGGTCTTCAGCAGCCAGAAGCCCGGGGCTTGAGATAAGTGTTACAGGTGATAGCAGCTGGGGGCTCCCACTCAGCTTTCCACCCGTCAGAGTGGACAGAGGTGGGGGAGGGCAGCCAGCTGCTGAGAGGACAGAAGCTCAAGACCACTCACTCAGGCAGGCCATGGAGAGCACTCGGGAGGCCGTGGCTGGGGGGATGCAGTTGGGAAAGACGGGCTGAAGCACGTAGTTGGAGAAGGTCATGGAGATGACAGCCAGGCTGGTGGGGTACATGATGAGGACAGCACTCCAGAGCAGCAGGAATCTGTGAGCGGTGAGAGCCAGTATGGCACGGGCACTCTCAGTCCCCTACCCATGCTGGCCTGGCTCAGACGTGCTGGTCTGGGATAGATGAGCCCCCGCCCCCACCCCAGAGCTGGTAGACTGCGGAGGCTGGGGAGGTCGGTATCGGAACAACTGGAAACGGATCCCAGGCTGTCCCCTGAGTCCAGGCAGGCGAATCCCA